CAAAATAGAGCGAGGAACCAGTCGGCCACAATGCCTAACAACAAGGAGGGCTGAAAATTGGACATCCTGGGTAGACTGATTTATTCCTTGGTGTCCTTTGTGCTACAGGTGGCTAATTATTCTGTGGTGATGAGTGCTTACCATCGCCACCTCTGGGATACTGCTTTGCCAGCCTTGCAGGCTGCTCCAGAGGAACTTCGCTCGGCTGCCCTTACCTGCCATCAGGAAGCCATGTCCCTAGCTCGGCAGGAAAGGATTGCCGCACAACATATAATTACATCAGCAGTATCTCTTTGGCAACATGCCTGGTTGAGATCAGCTGGAATCTCTGAGGATCCTCGTACCAGAATTGAGGACCTCCCGTTCGATGGACTTGGTCTTTTTGATGGAAAGATTGATAATTTCTTCCTGAAATTACGCAGGGCGGCCAGGTCATATTCCAATCAGAGGAAAGGATTGCCGCACAACATATAATTACATCAGCAGTATCTCTTTGGCAACATGCCTGGTTGAGATCAGCTGGAATCTCTGAGGATCCTCGTACCAGAATTGAGGACCTCCCGTTCGATGGACTTGGTCTTTTTGATGGAAAGATTGATAATTTCTTCCTGAAATTACGCAGGGCGGCCAGGTCATATTCCAATCAGCAGAGTAGGGGAAAGATTGATAATTTCTTCCTGAAATTATGCAGGGCAGCCAGTCATATTCCAATCAACAGAGTAGGCCACGTAGGTGTTGTTCTTTCCCTTACCGGCCTTATCCTGACCATCAGAGACCATAAAATGCAAGTTATTCATTAGGTCCATCTTGTCAGCAGACTGGGAGGCAGCGGCCTCGCCAGCAGGCACGCCGTTCTGACCATAAGCCAAAGCAGAGCCTTTAACTCTTTAGGTGCACCAGTAACACCTCACTTTTCAGTTCGTTTGGCACCCTTCCTTTCTTCCTGGCGATCCATCCCTTCTGATGCCTGGGTTTTGGCCATTATAGTTCATAGCTATGCTGCTGAATTTGATTCTTTACCGGCTACAGGGTTGTTCAGGAACACTGTTCCCTCACCCCCTCTAGAGGAGGAGGTAGATCACCTTCAAAAGGATGCTATTGTCCGAATTCACAACCCTATTTTTACACTTAGTTTCTTTTCCTGTTATTTCCTCATACTAAAGAAAGATGGCGGACCGGCTCATTTTGGATCTCTGCCCCTTGAATTCGTATATCACACCCTGAAAATTCAGGATGGTTTCCCTTAATGCCACCATCCAGATGTTGAGACAGGGAGACTGGTTTGCAGTCATAGACTTGAAGGATGCTTATTTACACATCTCCATTCGGCCTGACCATTGGTGTTTTTTGAGATTTTTCTCTCAATGGGGTGATCTGCGAATTCAAGGCCCTACCCTTTGGGTTATCCATGGCCCTGTGGGTATTCACGAAGTGTTTAGCCCCAGTGGTGGCTTACCTTCGTTTGCACAGTATCATTGTTTTTCCATATCTTGATAATTGGTTGCTTATGGTGCCAACACAGGCTCAGTTGAACACAGACATCGTTCACAGTGTCCCTCTTAACTGTTCTGGGACTTCAGGTGAACTCTGGCAAGTAAACTCTGCAGCCCACTTAGAGGGTTTCATACATCGATGCAGTTCTGGATGCCTCTGTGGGCATGGCCTTTTTTCCAGAGGACAGTACAGTGGTGCCTCGCAAGACAAGGTTAATGAGTTCCGCAAAAATCGCTGTCAAGTGAAATCGTTGTTAAGCGAAACACGATTTTCCATAGAAAAGCACTGAAAACCGGATAATCCGTTCCAATGGGAACGGATTGTCATTGTAAAGCGAAAATCGCCATAGGAAACATCGTTAAGCAAAACGCATTTCCCAAGCGAAGACAGCTGTCTAACGAAACAGCGACCATTTAAAAACCCGTTTAGCAAAGCAACCCCAAGCTGTCAAAAACATTGTAAAGCGAAAAACAGGGACCTAAAATTTAATTGTCTTGCGAGGCAAGGTCCCTAACATCATAAAGCGAAAATTGCCCATAGGAAACATCGTTAAACAGAGTGCAAGATTGCTCCGAAAACATCATTGTAAAGCGAATTTGTTGTTAAACGAAGCAATCGTCTAGCGAGGCACCATTGTATTTTGAAGATTGAGTACATTGTAAAGCGAAAAACAGGGACCTAAAATTTAATTGTCTTGCGAGGCAAGGTCCCTAACATCATAAAGCGAAAATTGCCCATAGGAAACATCGTTAAACAGAGTGCAAGATTGCTCCGAAAACATCATTGTAAAGCGAATTTGTTGTTAAACGAAGCAATCGTCTAGCGAGGCACCATTGTATTTTGAAGATTGAGTAGATGGTGGCTCTCTTCCTCTTGGATGCCAGCGTCTCAGTGCTACAAGTACATCATTTACTGGGACTCATGGTGTCGACCACAGCACTGCTCCGGCATGCCAGATTGAAGATGCAGTCATTACAGGCATGGCTTCTGTCACTTTGCAACCCCTTGTTGGACCTGCTGTCCAAGCTCCTATCAGTCACAGCGCAGCTCTCCTGGTGGAGCTTCCGCCCGAATTTGCTAATAGGCAGATCTTTTGGTCCTTTGGCTCCAGATGTCCAACTCACTACAGATGCAAGCCCCTCTGGCTGGGGAGCTCACTTGGGACATCTAACAGTGCATGGCTTTTGGTCACTGATGGAACGGCCATTACATATCAACCACCTGGAACTGTTGGCTATTTACAAAGCCTTCCGTGTGTTCGAAAGATATCTCCTTGGCAGAGTAGTTCAGGTGGCATCAGACAACACCACGGCAGTGTTTTACCTCAACAAACAAGGCGGCATATGCTCCCTCCGCTTTCTTAACTGTCCAGGTGTGCGAGTGGTGTTACACGCGCCACATCTATCCTGTGGTGGTTCATGTGGCCTCGGAAGACAGTGTGCTAGCAGATCAACTGAGCAGGCTGCAAGTATGCACCCACAAGTAGGCTCTGGACAAGGGGGTATTCCTGTCCCTCTGCCGCAGATGGGGCATGCCCCAAGTGGACATCTTTGCCTCTCCAACCAACATGAAATGCGTCCGATACTGTTCAGGGGTGTGAGTTGGCCACTGATCATTGGGAGACGTGTTCATGATCTTGTGGGTGCACAAACTTCTGTACATGTTTCCACCCATACCACTGGTACAGAAGACCATTCTTAGGATACGCCAGCAAAGAGCAAATGCCCCTTGGTGGCCGTGCCAGCTGTGGTTCTCAACCCTACATGGGCACACTCTCTGCTGCCTCTGTATGTCTTCCTCTGCTGCCATACCTTCTGTCCCTGCACAACAGCATGACATTTCACCAAGACCAACAATCTTCGCACCTCACAGCCTGGAGGCTGCTCCCATAGTAGCTGATGTCTTTGGACATGCACGATGCCGTTCCACGATCCTCACGTATTCTTGCAAGCTTTTTCTGCATTTGCTGCTACACGTAGCTTTCCGATTCTAACTACCTTACTGGATGCAGTGCTGAAATTCCTCCTTCTTATCTTCCGTGGCGGCCTCTCCCACTCTACCCTGAGAGTTTACATGGCTGCGATAGTGGCCCATCAGCCACCACCTTCAGAGGGGGCGGGTTTTTTTCCAACATCCAACACTCAAGCGTTTTTTGCGTGGGTTGAAAAATCTGCATCCCTCTTACAGGTCCCCCACTCCTCAATGGTCCCTCCAGCTAGTCCTTAACAAACTCATAGGACCTTTTTTTGAACCGCTGGCCTCTGCTTCGGACAAATTGCTCTCACTAAAAACTGTGTTCCTTCTGGCTGTAACCTCTGCAAGGCGGGCTAGTGACTCACCCTTCCTCCAATTTCACCCAGATAAGGTGGTCCTGTTCCCTTTCTTTCCTTCCTAAGGTGACCTCAAATTTTCACCTAAACCAGCTGATAATATTGCTGATGTTCTTTCCATCTCCTGGGAGTGGGCGCTCCACTCTCTGGACGTTAAGAGACCCCTTGTGTACTATGTCTCTCACTCTGCTGTCTTCCACTCATCCCAGTGTTTGTTTGTCTCCTTTCATGGACAGTCGAGGGATTCTCCGATCTCTCCACAGACAATTTCTCAGTGGATAGTTTCCACAATTCGCTTGATTTATGAATTGGCCAAGACTCCCCTACCATGTACTGTACGAGCATATTCCACCAGGGCTGTGGCTTCCTCTATGGCCTTCTCAGAGGGGTGGACTTGAGAGACATATGTAAAGCAGCCACGTGGGCCACGCCATCCACATTTGCAGCTCATTATCGCTTGGACATCCGAGCTAAAGCCGAGGCTGCTGTCGGCCATGCTGTCCTGCCATCTGTTCTTTCGTGATGTCCCGCCACCTGGTAGGTAAGCTTGTTAATCACCCATTAGTGTGCATTCACAGAGATCACGAAGAAGAAAAAGAGGTTACTTACCTGTAACTCTGTTTTTTTGAGTGGTCATCTGTGAATTCACGCTTCCCGCCCTTCCTCCGCGATAGCTGTCACGTGTGCCTCATGGCATTCTGCGCAGTGGCGGACAGTTTTAAGGAACTGAGCACTCGTTGCTGGGACTTGTTAATCACCCATTAGTGTGCATTCACAGAGATCACGAAGAAGAAAAAGAGGTTACTTACCTGTAACTCTGTTTTTTTGAGTGGTCATCTGTGAATTCACGCTTCCCGCCCTTCCTCCGCGATAGCTGTCACGTGTGCCTCATGGCATTCTGCGCAGTGGCGGACAGTTTTAAGGAACTGAGCACTCGTTGCTGGGACGGGGTTATAGGCAGCGTGGAGGAGGTCCCGGCACCATGTGCCTGAGCTCTAGAAGTTCCGAGATCATTCTGCCCAGGCGTGAGTTAACCCATTAGTGTGAATTCACAGATGACCACTCAAAGAACCAGAGTTACAGGTAAGTAACCTCTTTTTCCTGCCAGAGAACCATCTCACTAAGTGTTGCAAAGTAATGTCATCATGTGACCTAACTCTTCATTTGTTGAAACAGTTACACAGAGATGGATCCCGTGATTATTGCATCAGAAGGTGTTGAAAAATTTAAGAATGAAAACTTTGAAATAATAATTGTTGATACAAGTGGTCGTCACAAGCAGGAAGATTCTCTGTTTGAAGAAATGTTGCAAGTTGCTAATGCCATAGTAAGTATTGTACTATTAATTTAAAAAATATATCATTAGACAAGAGTGGTTCTCATAATAAGGCAATTTTGGGGAGGTGTTGCAATAAATACTTTTCAATAACTAAATATTTAAATTATTCATGTTCTAAATTGAGATCTTCTCACAGGAAAACATCATAAACTACACGTTTGACTTCATTTGCATTTTCTGATGTCAAAACTATTATAAAAAGAAGAGAGCCTGATTTCTCATCCCTCTGTTTATTTAAACACTTCTAGCAACCTGATAATATTGTTTATGTGATGGATGCTTCTATTGGGCAAGCGTGTGAAGCTCAAGCAAAAGCTTTCAAAGATAAAGTTGATGTTGCTTCTGTGATTGTGACAAAACTTGACGGTCATGCAAAAGGAGGTGGTGCACTCAGTGCGTAAGTATCATGTCACATAATTATGGGGTTAAGGAGTATTAGAATGGCCGATAACTGCATTAAGTAAAACAGTTCCAAAAAGTACAGAACTATGTTTTGTTAGTGGGTTAATTTGGAGAAAGAAATTAGTCGGCACTGTGGGAAATGAAAATATTTATTTATTTATTTACTTGTCTGTTGGTTTTTACTCTGATTTATATACTGCCCCACTAGTATCAAAGCACTATTCTGGGCAGTTATTTTACAAGGAATTAAAGCAAATGGCAGAGTAAACAATAAATACAACATAAACAGTAAAAACGTTGTTTAAAATTAAAAAAATCAGTGGTGTAAACCAGTCTTCGGAATGAAGCAAGATTGAAGGTGAGGTATTCAAATGGGGTCAAGTGTGAAAGGCCTCCCTATAAAGTATTTTTTTTAGGTAAAGGTAAAGGTTCCCCTTGACATTTAGTCCAGTCATGTTCGACTCTAGGGGGATGGTGCTCATCCCCGTTTCCAACCCGTAGAGCCATCATTTGTCCGAAGACAGTTTCCGTGGTCATGAGGCCAGCACAACTAGACACAGAATGCCGTTACCTTCCCACCATGGTGGTAACTATTTATCTACTCGCATTTGTATGCTTTCAAACTGCTAGGTTGGCAGGAACTGGAACAAGCGACAGGAGCTCACTCCGTTGCGTGGATTCGATCTTCCGACTGCTGGTCTTCCAACCTTGCAGCAGAGAGGCTTCTGTGGGTTAACCCGTAGTGCCACCACGTCCCACATTGTTTTAACTGCCTCCTAAATAAGTACAGGGAGGGGGCCACGCATAGGTACTCTGGGAGTTGGTTCCATAATGTCAGTGCCACAGCTGAGAAAGCTCTACCTCTAGTAGATGATGTTTGGGCCTCTCTCAGGGTGGCTACACAAAGGAACCCATCCTGAGAAGATCTTGTGGGTCTAGGAGATGGCATTAATGAAAGATGCTTCAACAGGTAACATATTGAGACCAGATGCATCTTAACTGCAATGTGAGTAATTGGAAAAACAGCCTTCTAACTGAATGAAGGCATAGGTTCCCAAGTAGCAAGATTCAGTACAGCAGTACTTAAAATGCTTTTTATCATGAAGCTATTTTTTCCAGTCTGTATATTAATATTAAGTTAAACAGGCTGGCACTACATCAGTTAAATCAAAGTAGCCATATGATCGAGGTGTAGAAACAAAAAATTGGATTGAGTAATATCTTCGCTGGATCAGTAAACAATTACAAACAAGGCAAGCTTCTGAGTACTCAGACTTTTCTTCAGGCATAAAATTGGAATTCTAAAAATTGGAGGATTGAGGAAGGAGCAAAAACTCCCACATACCCTACAAATGTGTGTAGTTTTTGTGTCATTGTTCCTGAAAGCAGACTGATAAAGAATGATGGACATTTCAGAGCAATGTGAAAGAAAAATGTGAAGGCATCAACTTAACTGGCTGTGGCATATTGCCCCCCCCCCACACAGAGAGAGAGAGAGAGAGAGAGGAATTTCCTTTTTGTTGAGTTATGCCTGGCCCCTCCCTCTAGTTTTACAAGGCTGCTGAATGGGCACAGTACTGTATCTATTGAATATTTTATGGATTTAATATTTATTTAATGGAATATTGATTGATTTAAAAAAATCCATGTTTAACCAAAACCATGTTGTTCAGACCCATGCAATTCAAATGAGAAGTGCACAGGCTTTTATTTATAATATTTTCATTGCTAAGTCCAACTGACTTAAACCGTAGTTTGTGCTTCCTTGCAGAGTTGCTGCCACAAAAAGTCCAATAATTTTTATTGGTACTGGTGAACACATAGATGACTTTGAACCCTTTAAAACACAGCCCTTTATCAGCAAACTTCTTGGTATGTCTTGTTTTCCTCTAAAATTGTCTTCTAAAATTAAGAGCCTGTAACATTCTGTCCTGAAAGTTTTATTTTTGTTATTGAAGATGACTTTTTGTATTCCAGGCATGGGAGACATTGAAGGATTGATAGATAAAGTAAATGAATTGAAATTAGATGACAATGAGGCCCTTATAGAGAAACTAAAACATGGTAAGCTACAGTGAAAATAATTCCAATAACGATTGGCAGTTAACCAAAAGATGTATTTTGGAAATAATCAAATGATAGAAACATAGTATTTAACTACTATTAGCCTCCCTACTTCTCTTATCCTTCAGGTCAGTTTACTCTGAGAGATATGTATGAACAGTTTCAAAACATCATGAAAATGGGACCCTTCAGTCAAATACTGGTAACTATGGCCAAACCTTTAGTATTCTGTAATGGGGTGATATTTTTCTTATTGCCTGACTGCAAAATAGTCTTACTATAATATTCAAATTCAATTTTGGGATTAAAAGTTGCATAAACATTTAATTTGGCACTTCATATGTCCTTGCTGTTATAGGGTATGATTCCTGGTTTTGGAACAGATTTTATGAGTAAAGGCAATGAACAGGAGTCAATGGCAAGACTAAAGAAACTAATGACAATAATGGACAGTATGAATGATCAAGGTAACCTTTTCAGTATTTGTTACAAAATAACAGAAGTATTGAAGTATATTATTTTTATACATTTTTTTACTTATTCATTTAATAATAATAAAATCCCATCCCTAGTGGCAGGACTAAGAGAAGGCTCCCTTGATAATTTTTAAACCTTTACAGGCTCATAAAGGGAGATGAGCTATTTTATATGGCTTGGACCCAAGTTGGTTAGGGCTTTATGTGTCAAAACCAGCACATGGAATTGTACTCCGAAATGGACAACAGCTAGTGGAGCTGTTATAACTGGGTAGTTATTTGATCCCTGTAGCCAGCTCCAGTTAGCAATCTGCGTGTGGCACATTAAACTCAATTGAATTTGCCACATACTTTTCAAAGGCAGCCCCATATACAGCATGTTACGTCCAAATAGGATGTAACTAAGACATGTGTCTTTGTCATCAGATCAGAAATCTCCAGGAATGGGTGCAATTGGCACACTGGTTTTAATTCGGCAAATGCACTCATCACTACTAACACCTTAGCATCCCAGGCTTGGGGACAAATCCATGAGAACCACCAAGCTGAAAACCTGTGTCTCCAGCGGAGTTGTAACCCCATACGACACAGGCTGAAATTCTATCCTGTGATCTGCCTTTCAACTGACCAGGAGCACCTCTGTATTATTTGATTAAGCTTCGAGTTTTTCACCCTCATTCAGTCCATTACTGATAGCAGACACAGATTTTGAACCAAAACTGATTCCTTGGGGTTAGATGGAAAGGATAGAGTTAGGTATCATCTGCATACCATAGACTGGATATAAATTTGCCCCTTTGTGGAAAAAAGTGCTTGTTATTTCCATGGCAGGGACCTGGATCTGGCAGAGGTTTCTTCCTGGAGGAAGGGGCAGCATATTAACTTTCTCCTGTTCCCTCTAAGCTCCCAGTGCTCCTTCTGTGCTATTTTGGAGTGTTCCCCAGTCTTCTGAAACAGTCTGGGACATGTCACTGGGTACTGCAAGAGGAAAAGGGAATCAGAGAAAGTCACTATCCTGTCCTTTCTTCAAACATCAATGCGACTCTGAGTACAAGTCTGGATCCAATTGAATGCTTTTATGTAAGTAGGCTGTTGCATTAAGGCCTTTCACTTTCAGTGTAGGAGACACCTTTGGTTACTACTTTTCTAAAAATTGAGTTTTTGTGCTGTCAGTTCTTTATAGGTTATTTAAAGTATAGTATAAATGTTAATGTCTTTAATGTTAAGTTCAATTAAGTGACTGAGTTTTGAGCTCTTGTGGGTTTAAAAAAATTGACTTGGCTCCATTTTTACTCTATTACGGTGCAAGATAAATGCCTTTGTTTCTGTTTTTCTGATCATAGAACTTGATAGTACAGATGGGGCCAAAGTTTTCAGTAAACAACCAGGAAGGATCCAAAGGGTAGCAAGAGGTTCTGGCGTTTCCACTAGAGATGTTCAAGAACTCTTAACACAGTACACCAAATTTGCACAAATGGTAAAAAAGATGGGAGGCATCAAAGGACTTTTTAAAGGTGAGAATAATGTATATGGATTGGTGGCCGAAGTGGAATCAGTTGCTTCATTCTAGAATGAAGCAACTGATCAGTTGACTGTTATTTTTTGCCACTCAGAGTGGTCTACTCAACCAGGCGGGATATAAATCAAATCAAATCAAATCAAATCAAATCAAATCAAATCAAATCAAATCAATCAATCAATCAATCAATCAATCAATCAATCAATCAATCAATCAATCAATCAATCAATAATTTTTAAAAGTAAATGCCACAGAGCCTCTTGAATTTTGAGTTGATCAATTCACTTTCTAAAGGGATCCGAAGAGAACCCCATATTGATACAGTATAATGGAGTTGGTTATCTGTATGGGACTGGGGAACATACCCAAATTTCTTTTAAATGTTTTTGAAAAAAAAATGGCTCAGAAAATCTCACTTGTTCTCTAAAGGCTGTGCTGGACAGTTCTGCTATGTTATAAGACCTGGGAGCTGCACATATCCTTACCGTGTTTCCCCAAAAATAAGACAGGGTCATATATTAATTTTTGCTTCAAAAACGCAGTAGGGCTTATTTTCAGGGGATTATTTATTTTTTCCCACTTACAACAATCTACATTTATTCAAATACAGTCATGTTATCTTCTGGTTGCTGCACAGTGGTGGAGGGCAGGGTTTCACTTAACTAGGGCTTATTTTTGGGGTAGGGCTTATATTACAAGCATCCTGAAAAATTGGGCTTATTTTCAGGTTAGGTCTTATTATTGGAGAAACAGGGTATTACAATGTAAATGTCTGTCTATCAGAGGCTTTTGAAGAGCATTGTGGTGCAGTGGTTAAACTGCTCTTCTGCAGTCCAAACTCTGCTCACGACCTCTGGTTCAGTCCCAGGTAGCCGGCTCAAGGTTGACTCGGCCTTCTATCCTTCCGAGGTTGGTAAAATGAGTACCCAGATTGCTGGGGAGTGGGGCAATGTGTATCCTGCATAATTAATATGTAAACCACCCAGAGAGTGCTTTATAAGCACTATGGGGCAATATATAAGCAGCATGCTCTGCTTTTGCTTTTGTTAGCCACTAGAGGGCATGAGGGGGCCATGTCAATTAAAGCCTTTTTTAGTTAAACCTATTTTTCAGTTAACAAAAACTCATATAAGTAATGAATTACAACCCTTGACCTACTGATAAACACAGTCAGTTGCCATTAGCCTTGCTGAGATCCCCAACCTTGATCTATATAAAATAAAATAAGGGACTTGGAGAATACATTGACTTCTAATGAGATTAAAATTCTTTATTACCAGAGGTCAGCATATTCTTGGACTTCTTTTAGTAAAATAGTAGTAAAAAAACACAACCTTGTTAACTGTTGTTACTCTTCTGTATAAAAAGTAACAATTTAGAAGTAACACTGTTATGTACCAGTTTACACATTTCAGTGTGTCAAGAGTGTGTGTAAACATAAGTTGGATCCCTAATTTTCCATTCGAAAATGGAACAGAATTTAGAGAACTGGATTTTCCAACATTTCCTTTTCCCTTTGCAGTCTCATGCGTATACACATTCAAATTTGATTTTGCTTGGTACAAAACACTTGGGTGTGATATGAAGGCTAGAGAGGTAGGTCTCTACCCTGCGTGAACAGAGAAGCAACTTGGGATCTAACTATTGATTTAATGATTAAATTTGTCAGAGCTGTACTGGGTGAGTTAAATCCACAGCTGTAGGTTGAGATTCATGTTCATTCATGTTGGCAGAGCAGCGGCATTCTCCTAATATGCCTATACAGATAGTGAAATTGTTCTTTATGATTTTGTTCAGGTGTTATATGCTTGTCACTCTCAAACTGGCCTTCTCAGCCACACTAGACGCTGTTCCAAGTCCTCCATTCAGAGCACATTGCCATCGTCTTTCGAGACTAAAGGATGCCTAAACAAACAAAAAGAGTGGTGCCTCGCTTGACGAGGATAATTCGTTCTATTCAAATCACTGTTAAGCGAAATCCTCATCAAGTGAAACGAAAAAGCCCATTGAAATGCACTGAAAACTGGTTCAATGCGTTCCAGTGGGTGAAATACATCAGCATCCAGCGTAGATCCTTCATAGGGCGGCCATTTTCCGATGCCTGTAATGCGAGGAATCTGTCCTAAAGCACAGCCGGTGGCCATTTTGAAATCTGACCAGGTGTTTTTGATCGTCGTTAAGTGAAAAATTGGTTCCCGAAGCAGGGATCCGATTGTCGTAAAACAGAAAAACCCCATTGAATCATCGTTTAAAAGACTAATTGTCAAGCGATTTTCTTGTCTAACGAGGTAATCGTCAAGCGAGACACCACTATATGCTTGTGAAAAGTTCCATTCCTACCAAATGTAGTGAAGCTACTGTTTAATTGTGGATATATTTAAATATTTTAATTGTGGACATTGTTAGTACTTAGAATCCAAATCACTGTATGATTTATCTGATTTAACTTTTCACTTTGTCTTTTCCTCACCTTATTATTTTCCCCCTCTCTTAAGGTGGTGATATGTCAAAGAACGTAAATCCATCCCAGATGGCAAAACTGAATCAGCAGATGGCTAAAATGATGGATCCCAGAGTTCTTCATCATATGGGTATGGGTTATTTATTTATTTAAAATATTTGCAGCACATATTTACAGCATATAAAATATCTCCAGCCATATCTTCTGTTTCAAAATGTAAATGGAAGTTTATCATATGTTCTTGACTGTAGCTGAAGATAATTTTCCTTAACAGTCAGAGTCTCCTATCATTAGCAGACTGATGCTTTGTCTCAACACTAAGCTTTGAACAATGAGAAGGGCTTGTGATCTATGTCATTCCTCATCCTGAGTCCGAATAGATAAGTATTAGCTGTTTTATATCTCTGGAGATCTTACTGAACTTCAGCACCTAGACTGAAGGAGAGCTTTCAGTGGCAATATTAACATACATTTACATTTACTTCACTTTGTTCTTCCATTCTTGTGAAAAAATAAAGAACAAAAATATTTTGAACAAAAAGTCTTCTTTTGAGCACAACACTTAATTTTAATCATTATATATGCTAGAATTCATATAACTATTTTAGGCATATCAAATGGTTTGGGACTGATCAGTAGAATCTTTATATACTGTTGCCATTGAACAGGACACTGTCATGCTTTACTGCAATTTATTTTTAAATGTCCTCCCAATTTCAAAACAAATGAAGTGGTTATGTTTTGTATTATGAACAGGCAGCCTGCTGTTTAAGAAACACAAGTTGAAAAGTAACTGATTGTGCAGTGCTTTGCGTATCAGTTGTTGTTGATCAGTTCCTAATGTTCCATTTTATGAGGCTTCCTCCAGACTGCTCAGGTATCCTATTTAATTTTGTTCTTCCATTCCAGGTGGCATGGCAGGATTGCAGTCAATGATGAGGCAGTTTCAACAGGGTGCTGCTGGAAACATGAAAGGCATGATGGGATTCAATAACATGTAAAAAAAAAAGCCTTAATAAACTGACCTGTTCAACTGTATTTGCTGGAACATCACTAAAAGAATATCTCCTTTTTGTTACAATGGAGGAGAATATAAATGCAGGAAATGATGCTTTTGAAACTTCAGTTCTGAAAGTTTCTAGATTGATTTCAAAAAAGTGGTTATATTTTTGCTTAAATTAGTTTTTCTGTTTTAATTTTGATGTTACATGGAGAGTTACATTAAAAAGCAAATCATGTACAAATTTAATATTTAGAGGAACTTTTTAATTGCCTCAAGTGGCAGCCGTTATATTTGTAAACAATTCAGATCTTTGCCAGTATGTCACAAATATACTGTAAAATAAACAAGTGGTTGTAAATTTAAGAATTGAATTTTTATGACTTTGCACTGGGATTCAGAAGAAAGCTTTGTTGCAAGGAAATAAAGCATTTGCCAGTGTTGACCTGCCTCCAAGAATGTATTGGTGATTTCAGTTGGCTCTACTTTTGATGCTCATTTCTTTACTTTGGACAAATATGACCATGGAACCTTATACTTGTGGAACTGACATCTTATCCAGACCATTCTCCCCTTGCTGAATATCAGAACATAGAGCATTCCAAAGATCTATAGTGTACTAAAAATAAGCATTGCTGGGTTTTTTTAACTTCAATATTGTTTTGATATTTATTTATATTTATTTATTTATTTATTTATTTATTGGACTTATATACCGCCCCATAGCGCTACAAGCACTCTCCAGGCGGTTTACAATTTTTAATTATACAGGCTACACATTGCCCCCCCAGCAAGCTGGGTACTCATTTTACCGACCTCGGAAGGATGGAAGGCTGAGTCAACCTTGAGCCGGCTACCTGGGATTTGAACCCCAGGTCGTGAGCACAGTTTTAGCTGCAGTACAGCGTTTTAACCACTGCGCCACGAGGCTCCGATATCTGTTTCCTCTGTAAATTTTTTTTTACTTTTTGTCATTTACTGCTACCTGTGTTATGTATGTATCGCTGTTTTTCCTTTAGTTGGCATAATGCTGTTCTTTCAGCAAGCAATTGTTAAGTCCTGGAAACCTTTTTCGAATAGAAAGGAAGCTAATGTGTGGGACTTACATGGAATGTCCTTATCCATGTTGTTATAATACTTTCATCTATAATGAGCTGAATTAGCTCATTAATCCTACTATATGTAAAATAATTTTAAATTACCTGCATTATTCTTTTTTCTTACTCTTCCTTTAGTTATGCATAACTTACCTTCTCAGTGGGCAAATTCCTGTTTTGTGACTTCATGCGTCGTGCAACCTAGATCAGCAGTGAAAACATTTAATTTACACTAATTAATATTCATGTTCCCCACCCCATCCATTCCAGGTTCCAAGGCTCTCTAGGGCTTCTTTTGCACTGAAAGAGCCTTTAGGAGATTCTGGATGAGGGGAGCAGCTTTTAAAAGTAAAAAATTGTTTCCAGATGGTTAATGGTGGGATCAGGACTGGCAGCAGCAAGTACTGAAAGACAGGAAGAAGGCACTGTTGCTTTCTGGAGTTACATGAAGTACCAGCAGTAGTGAAATCTTTGGGGATTGCTAATCAGGTAAAGGATGTTTAAAATGACTTTAAAAAGAGGTGCACTTGAATGCTTTCAAATTTATTAACATTTAATTCGGTTAGGCTTCCCTGAGTATTGTAGCACAATAGGTTAGTACAAGTACAGTACACTAAAATATAATACTGTTATATAGAAAATAGTAGTACACAAAAGCTCAGCTCTTAAAATGATCTCTCTCATCAGATAAACATGAGTATCGGAGGAAAGATTTTATAATCTTACATAGCAGGTGAATGTAGCTCTGCAGAATAGATAAATTGTTTTCAGCTAGATCATATAAAGTCACACATGGCAAGAAGACTATCACACAGTTACATACTGTACTTGATCAACAGGAGTAGACTCATTAGGAAATGATAACCTATTCTTGCTCAAGAAGGCAACAAATTTTTTTTAACTATAAGTTTTTAAAAAAACTAATCTTGGTTTTGCCTTGTGGAAAGAAAAAGATCTAGCATAAGATAAGATGACAGTGGCACCTTAAAGACTTAGCTGCTATATTTTAATGTGAGGTTTCATGGAGAAGTCTAGTTCCTCAGAAGAGTAGGGCTTCAGCAATATTTATACCTTTATACATGGCCCCAAATCAGAGACTGTATTAGGTCTTAAAGGTTAAATCATGAAAATACAACCACAGTCCTTGTCCACAGAAGCTCACATTAAAATTTAACAGTCTACAGTGCCACAACATTTTTGGCTTCTGTTTTTTGCCCAATATACAATCATAGATGATTCCTACAAGAAAGAAGTGGCAGACAGGTAAATAAGTGACAGGTTGCATAAAGAGCTTCTCTATGAGCTATGATTCAAAAGGAGGAAATAGCTAAGAGAATATAAACAACCAGCTAACATTTGTAGGGAGACAGTTGGGGGGGGCTAAATCTCAGAGTGAGCTCAGACTAGCAAGAGCAAATAAAGTGGATTTTGATCTTAGAGCAAGAGAAGGAATAAGGACATGGTAGGTCCATATGAAGGGAACAGAGAAGCACTAAGTGGTGACAGAGAAGTCAAAACAGCTGAACATCTTTGTGTTATCCTAGAAGGAAAATACCAGCCTAGTGCAAGCAGAATAAGTAAGGCACTCACGGGGTTGCTGATGAAGATAAGTAAAGAGGTGGAATGGAAGCAACCAGCTCTTTTAAATTAATCTGGAATCTGCAGGGCCATTTTAGCTCCATCCAAGGATACTAGGAGTAATTCACAGATGCAATCTCAGAGCCTCTGTCTATAATCTTTCAGAACAAGGAGATTGTACAAGAGTGGAGGTAGACAAATGGGGGCGGGGGGAGAGAAAATCTGGGCAGGTAATGATCAGTTCCCCTTCATGGATTGCTGCCTTGTCGTGGCGAAGGGGCTTGAGTAACTCAGAGAAGCTATGGGCTATGCCGTGCAGGGACACCCAAGACAGACAGGACATAGTGGAGAGTTCCGACTAAGCGCAGTCCACCTGGAATAGGAAATGGCAATGCCACTCAAGTATCTTTGCCAAGAACACCCCATGATCAAAAAACAAAAGGCTAAAAGATATAACGCTGGAAGATGGGCCCCTCAGGTCGAAAGGCATCCAACATGCTACTGAGGAAGAGTGGAGGACAAGTACAAGTAGCTCCATAGCTAATGAAGTGGTTGTGCCAAAGCCGAAAGGATGCTCAGCTGTGGACGTGCCTGGAAGTGAAAGGAAAGTCCAATGCTGCAAAGAAAAATACTGCATAGGAACATGGAATGTGAGATCTATGAACCTTGGGAAGCTGGAGGTGGTCAAACAGGAGATGGCAAGAATGAACATCAACATCCTGGGCATCAGTGAACTAAAATGGACATGAATGGGCGAATTCAGCTCAGATGATTATCATATCTACTAATGTGGGCAAGAATCCCATAGAAGGAATGGAGTAGCCCTCATAGTCAACAAAAGAGTGAGAAAAGCTGTAATGGGATACAATCTCAAAAATGATAGAATGATGTCAATACGAATCCAAGGCAGAC